AAATGGTCTTGTGGGCAAATGAAGCAATATTTAAGAAAATGTACTAAAATTAAGTAAGGTGAAGGTCTGTGGTATTTGAACCTGACTGCTGTTCTTTCCTCCCGGCTCAGCCGAGTGAGACCCTATATGCCAGACTACAAGGATCCATGACATGGGGCCGTCTCTCCTCTAGTACCAGCTTATTCCGGAAAAGGGAAGGGCATCTGTGCTCCCCATCGTGGCTCAGCTACCTATGGCTGAGGCTAAGTCCTTGGGGAATGCAACTGGGACATGGGCATTTTTCTCCCACCCGACCCCCATTCAAAGCACACTGAGAATGTGGACCATACGCTTTGCCTGGCTTGTGAGGAGTGCTAGGGGCTGCTCCTTCCCTCCTGCCCTCTGCTGTGTGGCTCTCCTGAGCAGGGCTGTCCTTCACAGAGATGACGGTCAGGTTCCCACATTCCTTCTGAGCCCTGGCTCCAAGACTGAGCCTGTGGGATACGGGCGGAAAAGGTGGCAGGCTGCAAAGCAGAGGACTTCCTGTCTTTCTCAGTGGACCTGACTCTGCCAGAGTCTGGAGGAGTTCAAGCCTGAAGGTGCTCCAAAGACCAGGAGGTTGCTGAGAAATCTGTCAACTGGCTGAAGAAACAATCTAGGTTGTATGCAGGCAAACAAAGTATAAAACACATGGGAGGGTTTCTTCTGAGGGCAGAAAAATTCTGGACGCTCACCTCAAACACTTTACTGACCAAGAAACACTTCGACTGGGTTAGTTTTGTACACCACAGCACTGGTGAAAGCTGAGAAAATGGCCAGAAATGAATGGGCTGATGAGCTGGGTATGATCAGGCAAAGAGTGGACGAAAGCCTAGCAAAACCACTGTCATCTCGGGGGACCAGCATGTAACATAGCTGCAACTCCCCAAGAAGTGGCATCAGGGCTGAGGGCAGTACTTAGTATTACTACATGAACTGAGCCTATCACCAAACAAACAAGCAAATAACAGCACAGGCCCAAGAGACTAGCACTGAGCTCTGCTTTAATACATTATCTAAATTGTTCAGTTTCCAAAAAAGAATTACAGGGCAGGAAAATATGACCAATATTCCTAAAAGAAAGTAGGCATTAGAGAATGCCTATAGGAGTGGCCAAATATTCAAATTTAACCCCCAAAAAGATTTCAAGTACCCTGAAAACATACATTCAAAGCACTAAAAGAAAGCATGATGGGAGAAGGGAAGTTAGGATACAATGACCCATGAAATACAGAGTATCATTTAAAGAAAAGAGAAATTGTAAAAAAAACAAAAATGAAAATTCTAGAGTTGAAAAGTACAAAAACTGAAATTAAAAACTGCAGGAGAGGGCCGGGGATTTAGGTCAGTGGTTCTGGCGCCTGCCACACAAGCACAAGGTCCCAAGTTCGATCCCTGGTACCAAAAAAAACTGCAGGAGAGGGCTCAACAATGGCTTTGAAGGAGTATAACTGGAACACCATTAGAGAACCAACATGGGCTGGTAGACTATCAATGGCAGAGTGCTTGGCTCTTATGTGTGAGGCCTGGGTTTAATCCCCAGCACTGCCAAATAAATAAAAAACACAATCAGCACATGTGTGAAGGCCTCACCAAAACACGACATATAAACCAAAAAAAGAAATATTCAAAGAGAAAATAGATGAAAACTCCTCAAATTATTTACAAAACAATCTACTTACAAATTTAAGAAGCAGAAGGACATACAAGTGTGACAAACACAAACAGAACCACAAACATCTCAAAGTCAGAGACAATGAGGGAATCTTCGTAGCAGGAAAAGGAAAAAAAAAATCACTTCATTTACAAGGGAACTTCAAATATAGTGAAAACCTCAATGGAGGTTGGAAGGCAGTGGGATAACACTCTCAGGGATCTAGTTTCTCCACAACTTCCCATTAACATTGCATGTGTGATGCTGGGGACAGAACCAGGGCCTCACACATGGTAGGCATCCCTCTGGAATAACACTCCATCCCAATTATGAGTTTTTCTTTGTGGTGCTGGGGATCAAACCCAGGGACTTGTGGATGCTAGGGAGGAACTCTACACCTCGAGCCCTGTTACTTCTCTTTTTAGTTCACCTTTTTTAATAGGTGCATTGTGACATCTCATTGTGTTTTCATCTGCATTTCCCTAGTGGGTGGGGATGTTGAACATTTTTGTGTGTGTGTTTGTGCTAGGGATTGAACCCAGAGCCTCACATATATTAAGTAAGCTATATCCTTAGCCCTACTGATTTTTTGTTGTTGTTCTGAGACAAGGTCTTGCTGTGTAGTTCAGTTTAGGCTGGGCTTGAATTCATTATGCACCCCCTGGTGGTCTTGAACTACCAGTGATCTTTGTGCCTCAGCCTCCTGAGTGCTGGGATTATAGGTGTGCACCACCATGCCAGGCTATTTTTTTTTCTTATTTATTTTTTAAATAAATTTTATTGTCATGTTGTGTTCTAGGACCCCTCAGACTCCATGTCACATTCACTTGTCACTGTCTCTTTAGACTCCTCAGGCCACTTCTTGGCCTTTCCTGTCAGGGTTTCTAATGAACCTTACAGTTTTGAAGAGTAATGTTCAAATATTGTTTGATACCCCTTGATTAAAATTCATGATGTTGAGTTCAAACCTCAGCACAAGAAGAAAAAAAAAAAGTCATCCTCCCCCCTTGCATGTGATGTTTTTCTCAGGATTAAGACTGGGGTTATGGGTTTCTGGCACTGAATTAACCTAGGGCCTTGTGCCTAACAACAGCTTGACAGTATTTGAAAAATGAGATCTATCTATACTGAATATGTGCAGGCCTTGTTCCTAAATAATGCAGAATACTGACTATTTGTATAGCATTTGTATTAGGTATTACAAGTAAACTAGAGATGATAAAGTAGGCAGGAGGATGCACATAGGTTATATGCAAACACCATGCCATTTCACATACAGGACGTAAGTACCCATGGGTCCTGGCATGTGTGGGGAGTCCTGAAACCAATTCCTCATGTATATCGAAGAACACCTACATAGTGTAAGGAAGAAGAGCTGGGAAGTGCAGTCACCTCTGCACTGCCACTCAGGGCCTAAGCTATCAGCACCTTCATGCATGTCACTAATGTCTAACAGTACCACACAAACTGGACTCAACCAGACGCCCCAGGAAAACTCTAACAGCAGTGTCCAAGTTGAATTTACATAAAAGAATGGGAGGTATGACCAGTTCTCTGGAAACTCACAGTTCCCTGTATGTCTACTGTACTTGAGATCAAAGACACCAAAGATGAAAGACACTAAAGTCCATCCAAAGAAATATTTACCAAGTTTCTGTAAGATGTTATCAGCCATTTTCATTATATGTAGGTTTATAAAATGTTATTCTCAGGTTCAACAATGACAATACACTTATTGAGGACTTGCCCTAGACCATTCCAAAAGCTTCATATATGTTATAAATAAAAGGCCTTTTGGAAAGAAAGTGCTTTTGATGTATGCACACCTTAGCACCCCAGCAACTACTGTGGATTATGTTAAATAGCAATCTAGTACAGATCTCCCACTGCCACTCTGGGGACTAAAGGTCATTTTGCAAGCACATGAAGATTTTTACTCAAACCAAGGTTGTATCCTTCAATCATTCAGTAAGTAGATTTAGATTGCAACAATTATATACAGGCAAAAGGTACTTTTCCAAATTTTACATTCAACAGGATATCTCATGTAAACACTTTGCTTCAAGATTTTAAAACAAAAATTGTGATCCTTCCTTCTTCCTTTCTTTCCCTCTCCCCCTTTCTTCCTTTTTGCAGTGGTGGGGACTGAACTCAGGGTCTGTCACAGGCTAGGAAGGTGTTCTGTCACTGAGGTACACCTACAGGTTCCTGTTGTGATTATAATACAGCCAAGGGTTACAGCAATTTCATGTGTTAAAACTGGATACTAACCTTTGACTCGGACATCACTGTACCTCTGAAAGTGGTGGTAGGCAGCTTTCCAAGGGTTCCGGTAGTGACGAAGCAGAGTAATGGGAGGTCTTGGACGAACTGGGACATACCTCACACCTTCTTCATCTATTCAAGGGGCAAGAAAAGAAGGCATTAAATGGCTTATTACATATTCCCAACAATCCATGAGGTTCAATTCCAACAAGAGAGCTGGAAGGAAAATGGACTAAGGGAACACTTCTGGGATGTCCTCCAGGCTGCAGCAGGAAGTGTCATGTGGCAGCAGTGAGCCTAGAGGATCCTTACCGATATACTCCTTGGGAGGGGACTTGCGCTTCTCAGCCTTCACCAGCAGACTCTTGGCAGTAGACTTCTCGTCATCAGTGCTGTTCGTCTCCATCATATCCCCTTCTTCTGTTGAGATCACGTGCTGCTGTTTCCGAGGCTTTTTCCTTGGGGAGGCACCAGGTGGTAGGTCACTTGTAGGCATGGACAGGTTATTCGCCAGCAATGTGAGAGATGGAGACACAGTGTTGGTGGCCAGCGGAGGAACTGCTGTCAGAGGAAATGGAGCACAGACAGCTCTGAGAAGCCAGACATAATGGAAAGCTTCACTTGATTCCCAGCAACAACAAACAAGAGGACAGTAGAGAGCCAGCACTCTAGCTGTGGTGGAGACTACTGAATGCTTTTTAATGTTCCACAGCTTCACCGTACTTGGTTCCAGGAGTCTCACTTTGACATGGTACCACGTCACTTAGCTAAAACAATGTATTACTTAGCCTTTGTTATAGGTGTGATCAGATAAAATGGAAGGAGTGTTCTGCAGCACTTTCAGGGAGTTTCCTTACATGTTAGCCAGATGAGGTGGTGCACACCTGTAATCCCAGCACTAAGGGAGGCTGAGTCAGGAGGACTGCAAGTTCATGAGACTCTGTCTCAAAAGATAAAAAGACCGGGAGATACAGCTCAGTGGCAGAGTTTTCCTGGGTTTGATCCCCAGTATCCCATTCCCCCATCCAAAAAAGGGAAAAGAAAACAAAGATGTCATCTTCTATTCCTTGACTTCTTTCTGTGCCCTAGGTTTTAGCTGTGATAGCCAGAGCTACAGCAGCTGCTATGAATCAAGAGCATGAAGGTCAAATCTTACAGGTTCATGCAGGGAAAAATGGGAAGGAGCTAAGGATCTGATAGAATCCACATACTATTCTTGAACATACAGCTTGCTTCAAGGGAGATAAAAATCTTACACAGGTAAGTCACTATTCTTGTGGACTTTAAACAAATTCCTAGCAGGTAACCAATTAACTGATAATCTTAAAAAGGCAATCAGGGGCCGGGGATTTAGCTCAGGGGTGCCGCACCTCCCTTGCAAGCACAAGATTCAATCCCCAGTACCAACCAACCCCTCCAAAGCAATCAGAATAAGCAAACATTACTATTATCCCCTGTTGACAGTTAATCTGGACTGTCAACTTTATTAGCTTGGGAATAACTTAGGGCAGGGATGAGCCACAGCAAGCCAAGTTACCATGTTCGTTTTTTTCTAAACTAAAACCTCAGTACTCAAGTTTAATTGCAGTCTTGGCACTTTGTGACAAATAAGTGAGTTTTGGGTTGCAGTTTGGGCCCTCAGTCTCTAAAAGGTTCACCATCACTGACTCGGTATTAGTAAAGCACATTTCTGGGTGTGTTTGGGGGCTCACGGAAGTGCAGCTTTGGGTATGGTATCTGGTCCCTAGCCGCATGGTCTCTGGCACTATTCCCCTACTCTGCTTAACAAAGCAGCTTTGTTCTGCCACCCCATTCCACCACGATGTTCCTGCCTTGGAGTCACGTGACCATGGACTGAATCCTTTTGACATCATGGGCCAAATTAAACCTCTCCTTCTAAGCTGTGGGAGTTATGTATTGTATCCCAGTAACAGGAAGACAGACCAATACATCCCTCAATTTACAGATAAGAGTATGTGGCATAAGCCACACACATGTGAAGTGGCAGAGGCAGCCTCACTTCTGACTCTGCACTGTTAACTACCACAGTATACTGTGTTCAGACAAAAAGCCTCCAGAGTGAGGAAGTAAATCCTAGTTTTCTAGGACCACACATCTAGGAACTTAAAAATCATGCTAACGGTTCACCTCAACTCTGCCACATTATTTGCCCCATCCTTTTCCTCCACTCACACTCAGCTACCCACTCCCTATACCAGCAACAGCGAACCTTTTAGAAACTGAGTGCCAAGGGCCAGGGATTTAGCTCAGTGGTTCTGCTACCTGCCTCACAAGCGCAAGGTCCTGAGTTTGATCCCTGGTACAAAAAAAAAAAAAAAAAAAAAATCGACTGCCAAACTGCAACCCAGAACCCACTTATTTGTCCCAAAGTGCTAACGCTGCAATTAAACCTGAATACTGAGGCTTTAGTTAAGGAAAAAAAAAAACTCATATATTAAAAAGAAAAACATAATAACACATGTGCCATAGGTTCGCCACCACTGCCCTACACTGTTATCAACAATAACTACAACTGGCTTCACACCCATCTCAATTTCTAGTACTCAAATCTTTAGCCAAAACCAACTGCCTAGGTCACTCTTATTAGTAACCAATTTCCAACAATCCTTTGACTGCACTAGTAGCTCCTGCCCATCCACCTTCTCATGCTTCTTTCTGTCACGTCTCTTTTCATGTCCATTTTTTCCCATTGGTAGATTCAAATTCCACATTTTACTCATTTTATTCCATCTTTTTCCCTTTTCTTGCTTCGCCAAACTCGGCAAAAGCAGAAGAGGTTTAAATACAACTCTCCAGGGCTGGGGATTTAGCTCAGTGGTTCTGTAGCCTGACTCACAAGAGCAAAGTCCCAAGTTCGATCCCCGGTACCAAAAAAAAAAAAAAAAAAAAACACCAACTGTCCAACCTGTGCTAGTCTGCACCTATGTGCTAAAGTAGCTGGAATGACCACACAGCAAGCTGGTTGTTCTCACTTGGTAAACATACTATTTGCCCCTAGATGAGTATTTTACACTTTCTCAACTCCTCTTCCCTACCTGTACTCTTAGTGATCCTGCTTCTATTTTACTGAAAAAGAAACAATCAGAAAGCTATGTCCATGAGGTACCCCCTACACCGCCCCATCGCACAGTGACTGTATATTCTCCCCTCTCAGTTCTTCAGCAAAGGCCAAACCTTTCAGAAAACACTGATCCTGCCACCACCCCCTCCTCTTCAGACACTGCCCCAGGAATCTGCACTGCTTTCTCTTACATTATCAGTTCTTCCCTTTCTAATTAATCACTCCCACTAACATATAAAACTCTTATCTCAAACAAAAACAAAACAAAGCAAAACAAAACAACTAAAGGCCAGGGATGTAGGTGTAGTGGAAAGCCCAAGAGACTCAGACCTGCAAAAAAACAAAAACAAACAAAAAAACAAACTTCTTGACATCATTTCCCTTCTGTTATTACCCTCTTTTTCTATCCCTTTACAGCAAACTTCTCTATAATGTTTTTGTACACCATGTTTCTATTTCTCTCCCAGTTCTCTCCCTTCCCCCCTCCCGCCTCTCGATTACATTTTAAACACTTTGTGTTAGCTTTCTGGTTAGCTGAATACCCAACACCCACAATTTAAAGGAGGAGAGGTTTAGTTTGTTTGGCTGTAAGGGAGCCAGTACATCCTCCCTGTGTCCAAGGCTAGAACATTATGGTAGAAGAGGGTGGTCAGGCAGCTGAGGGGGAAACAGTGCCAGAGGTTGAAAGGCAGGGATCACAAAAGACCTCAAATCCACATCTTCAAAACCTACCCAGAGTTATCTGCCAACAGTCCCCAGGCCAATCTGAGCCCCCAGTTTTTTCTTGAACTTACTTCCAATCATGTTTTTACTATTATCATTACACAGAAACTGTTCTCCAGATCTCCATGACCTCTGTGTGGCTAAATCTAAGGGTCACCTGCTCAGTCCTCAGCTCCCTCGATCTCTCAACAGCATGTGATCCAGCTAAACATTCCTTCTTCCCACAATTTTCTGCCCTTGCCTTATATACCACTTCATACTCCAACTTGTATCCTACCACTCTGGCCCCTCTATTCAGTCTCCTCTGCTGAATTTTGCCTCTTTTCCCACCTCACAAAGGTGCAGTGTTCTAGAGCTGTCTATGAACTGCTTCAGCTTTTATGTGCATTCATTTCCTAGGTGACTGTATCCACTTATCCAGGCTTCTGGCTTGGAACATAATTTTTATATATATACTTATATCTCCTAAATTTTTATCTGCAACTTCATTTTCCATGCCAAAATCCAGGCTTGTTGATTAAACCTTTTACTTGATGCCTACATTTGGATGTCTAACAGACACTTCAAACTTGGACCAAAAAAACCTCTAATCTCTCCAAACAAAATATGGTCCTTCTGCAACCCTTTGTATCTCAGCTGATATCAACTCCATGGCCTCCTGCTGCTAAGGCCAAACACCTCATCTTCACCATCTGATCTTTAATTGTCATGGTAGTGACCCCACACCTATGACCCCAGGACTCTGGGAGGCTATGGGAAGAGGACTGCAAGTCTGAGCCTAGTCTAGGCAATTTAGTTAGATCCACTCTGAAAAAAAGAGCTAGGGATATCGCTCACCCTCAGTTCAATCTCCAGTAGGGCCAAAACAAAACAACCCCCACAAACTCTCGGCTGCAACTTAAAAACATATGAAGGGGCTGGGGTGTAGCTCAGTGGTGGGGTGCTGCCTAGCATACAGAAGGCCTTGGGTTTGAAGAACAGCACTGGGAGGAAAAAAAATCCAGAATCCACCTACCTCCTAGCATGTCTACTACTACCACCCTGGCCAGGCCTGTTTCTACAGGTAGCGCAACAGGCTCAAGACAAGCCTCCCAGCTTCCATCTTTGCTCCCACAGCAGCCAGAGTGCTGTGGTTATAGCCTAACCAAGCTCCTGGCATTCCTCTGCTCAAGAGGAGTAGCTTCCCACTGCCCCAGTGCAGCCTGAGTCCTACACAGTGAGGCCTGTGAGTACTGACCTCAGCTCTGACCATGTCCTCTGCTAACTCTGAGCACACCAGGCACACTCTAATCACAAGGCATTTGCACTTGCTGCTCTCTAGGCCTGGAATGCTCCTTTCCTAGACAGCCTCGGGGCCAGCGCTTCATCTTTCCTGACTCTACTCCAATGTCATTTCCTCCATGAGACCCTTAGTACCCCTTTTTGATAGTTTCAGCCTCAAACCTAACTTTTCCTATACAATATTTTTTTTTGAGAACCTAACACCTAAATAAGCAAACCTACATGCATGTATGTGCATGTGAGTGTGCACACACCTAATAACTGTTTTATTATTTTACTATTTGTCTCCCTTGCTAGAAAGTAATCTCTGAGGGTGGGGAGATGCACTTATTTACACAAAGCTGTACCATCAATGTGAGAACAATTTCTGGGGTAGAGGTAAGATTACTGTCAGCTTCCTGGCACATACAGGTAGGGGGACTTTAATCCAAAATTAATTTACAAACAACAAAATAAAATCTCTAAAGTTACTTGA